GGGGGTGGATGGGGTCAAAACACGTACAGTTAGATCTAAAACCATGATAAGTCCGAGAACTGTTAGTTAACAAAGCACGGCTTGATGGCCGTGTATGATACTACAAATATTTTTTTAAACCCCCATAAAACCTCAAAGAAAGCAACAACAGAAAAAAGCCCAGAAAGAAAGCATTTAATAAAATGTGACCTTTTTCATTTTCTTAAAAAAAAAAAAAATCATGATATCAGGTCATGGAAAAAAAAGAAGAAAAACTATTCGGCAAGTGGGTAGGCCAAGGCGTTTATCGTACTCGGAACAATGAGGACAAATCAAAAAGAGAAAGAAACAAAAGCAAAAACAAAACAGAAGAAATAAAATTTAAAAAACCGCCCCGAAAAAAGAGAAGTTAACAAAATAATAATAATAGAAAACTCTAATCACAAAAAAAACAACAATTATGCTAGAAAATGGAAAAATTTTATTAATTAATTATTGTTGTAGACAATGAATAAAAAAAGGATTCAGTCATTAGAAAGAAGAGAAATTATAATGTTTATGTTAGGGACTATACCGTTGATAATAACAGCATAATAATAAAAGAGATAATGCTTTAAAAACTTTATAAAAATATTAAAACGATGATAAAATATCCGTTTTAAAAGTTGTATAATTCTTATGATGATGCTGATGATGATATTCATGACATTTATAATGTTCCCTAGAATATTATTTTGTACTCAGTCACTAAAAAGTGTTTTAGTTTATAAGAGCTGAAGATCTTAATAGAGGGGAAAAAATCAAAAGAAAAAACCTCTCAACAAGTGCAAAAATAAAAACCAAACGCAAGGGGTTTTTTTTTTTCGAAAATCTCTGAGAAACAAGGAAGTACGAGCTAACGCCATTCATTCATGCAGTGATTTTCTGTTGATGACAAAAATTCGATTCTTGAGAAACTTGTTGAACCACTTCGATTGACGGACAAGGGTATACCCCAAGGACTGCTGCTTCCTGGTTCTGTTTTGCGTACACTCAGCGTCTTGAAAAACTTGTTCTGAAAATGTCTAGGGTTGGTCTATACAAAACAGTATTTCATAACGTTGTTAGGACAAGTAAAAGAAGCCATAATTTATAAATTATTGATGATCGTTGTAAAAGAGGGTCGAAAGGCGACGTATTTAAGAAATTACAGCTCAAGAGTGAAGGAAATAAAATAAATTATTCGTGGAACGCAAGTGACCGAATCAGAAATATATATATTCTGTGTATGCGAGTGGGG